CGTAAGACAGTTGTCAAAACCAAGACATTAATGTTAACACAATACTGTTATGTAATCCACAGGCTTCATTTGCACTTTGCCAATTTTCCCATCTGGGGATTTACTTTGAGACTTTGGAAGGATCCTGTGTCTCCTCAAACTTTTACCCATTAATTTTAGCATCTGTTTTAGTGTTTTGGTGCTTCTCAAACAAATTATCCCAAACTTAGTGACAATAGGAATTTATTGCCTTCTGGTTCAGAAGGCCAAAAATCAAGGTGTCAGCGAGTTTGGTTCCTTCTAAGGCTTTGAGAGAGAAACTGACCCAGGCCTCCCAGCTCCTAGTGGTTGCCGGTCATTTTTGCATTTATGGCATCTCTGTTTCATCTCCACAGCCACCTTCTGTGAGTTTCACTACTTGCCATTTTCTGTATTTTATAAGAATGCTCATTGGGTTTACGTCCCTAATTTACCCCAATTCCCCATGATCTCATCTTCCAAAAGACACTATTTCCAAACAAGGTCACATTCTAAGGCCTGAGTGGGCATGAATATGGGGTGGATGGTATTCCGCCCCCTCCAGTGAATGTCCCATGGTGAGTCTCTTTTGCATTTATTACTGTGGTGTGTGTTTGCCAGATGGTCATTTTGTATTTCTTCTGCATTTAAAGAAATTTGTTGATCAGACTTCTATAAGAAAAACACAGCTTCTCTTCTTAATTAGGCCATTAAGCTTTTCAGTACCAAACTCACACATTCCAGTTTTGATGATACATAAACACAATTCTATTTGGTGGCAGGGAGTACAGATCCTTAAACAGATGGCCTCAGTTTGCATCTCAACTTGATACTTATCTAGCTTTGTGACCTTAGGCAAGGCATGGAATCTTTCTGTGCCTTCATTTCTTCCATCTGTAAAATGGGAGCAATAATAATACCTACCTCAGAGGGAGCTATGAGTTAAAAGGTACCTACACTTAGAAAATGTTCCACATGGATGAGCTGTTGTTTCTCTGGGGTCATCATCACTGTCCTCATCATTGTTACTGTCACACCGAGTTACTGTCTCTCCAGCAGCCAGTGACTGTGCCCGTGGCTTCTGGTCACATGCCTGGGACTGTTCTTGAGGCTTTTTCTCTTCTTGCTGGTTCCTTTTAGTATCCGCCCCCCCCCCCCCCCACACACACACACAAAACCACATTTGGCCATGAAGGACTAGGTGGTCAAACCCCTGTTCCCTCCTCCAGGCTCCGGATAGTGGAAACTCTGAGCAACTTGCTGCGTTCCGTGGTGGCCCTATCACCCCCAGACCTCTTGCCTGTCCTCTACCTCAGCCTCAATACCCTTGGGCCACCCCAGCAGGGCCTGGAGCTTGGTGTTGGTGATGGTGTCCTTCTCAAGGCCGTGGCCCAGGCCACAGGTAAGGGGGTTTGTAGTGGAGAGACCAGTGGGAGGGGAACTTAGCAAGAGAAAGTGGAGAGGTTCGGAAGATCTGAGAGACTGGAGAGAGACCAGAAGGTGGAGCCAGGAAGTGGAAGAGACCAAGAGGGAAGAGAACCTGACAGGGACAAATTTGCAAAGGTATTGGGGGAGCATGAGGGGCAACGATTCAGTCGAAGGAGGACCAGGCCTATATTGGGACAGGGGCTGTAGGGAGAAAAATGCTGGGGGCAAGGGCAGTAGGATTTGGGGGCTGGGATTGAGGGTTGGGGCTTAGAGAGGTGGCACATGGCCTAAGGACTTTGAAGAACTTTAGCTGGAAGGCTAAAGGAGGAAGAGTGGCACTAAATAGGGTCGGGGTCAGGACTGAGCTGCCAACACTGGCTGGGGGGCAGTGACGTGGGTTGCATCCTCCAAGTGTCTGGGAGCACTGGGTGTTCCCTGTGAGGCTTTGAGGAACCACAGGAAGAGCATGTGCAGGCTGGGGTAGGGTCCGGTCTGGCCCCTGTGGAGGACAAATGGAACACTAGGAAGCTGGGGAGAAGGCTGAGTATAAAGGTTAGGGAAAGAGGAGTGGGTCAGGGCTGTAGAGAACAGTAGAGAGGGTAGGTTCAGAGAGAGATGGTTACAGGAGGGACCTGCCAGACAGTGGGAACCCTGGAGTAGGGAGTGGGGGGCACTGCAGAAAATGCTAACTGTTCCCAACTAGGACCTGGCACAAGCAGCCTGTGTCTGTGGACAATCCAAGGCCATCTGAGATGTGGGTCTGAGGCTCACTAGATCTGTGTCAGAGGCCAGGGTTTGGTGATCAGCTTAGGAAGCATGACCTAAGTACTGGTGGGTTGCCACCTGCCCAGGGAGGGGATGTCTAAGAAGGATATGAAGGGGACCTTGAGGCTGAGCTGTGGGGAAAGCCACTATTTTAGGAAGGAGGGGCTTCAGGGTTTCACGAGAAGACAAAAGGGCTCAGACTGAGGGGAGTCTGGAGAGAGTTATGGGGTCATGGGAGAGGAGAGGATACTCAAAATTCTCTCATTCTTTCACCTAAGTTTATTGAACGTGTACACCACACCAGACCTAGTGCAGACGGTATCTGTTATGAATACTTTGAGCTACAAGTGACAAGAAAGCCCAACTACACTGGCTTAAACAAGAGGACTTCATGAAAGAAGTTGTTGCTAGTGCCCTGCCCAGTGATGCTTCGTGGCCAGGGCCTTTTGTGCTCTTGTCTTTAACACGTCTGTGTTTCCCCTTGTCTCTGTGCCTCCTGGGGCTCTCATGGCTCCCAGGTTTGTTGTGAGTTGTTCACCATGTTGGAAAATCCCCTCCCTTTTGACAATTGAGTTGATTCATCATGCACAGAAAACATTCACACAGTAGCTGTCTCCCTAGTGATGATCCCACCCCAGGCCCAAAGTCTGTCCTTAGGTATATCTTATGTGTGGTGGCCAGGAGTCCATAGACTGGCATGTGTGCTGTTTTGTTGTAGGTTACTGTCCTTTTCTTTCTTGTCTAGCGTTAGGGCATTATCTTGATAAGTGTAGGTAGGTTATATTACCCCTGCATTTCATTTCAGAATAGAAAACATAAGACACAAAGTACCTGTGGTGACAAGGGGTGTTTTGGTTGTAATAGGTTGAGAGAGCACCTGGTCACAGTCGTCATGGTGGCTCAAGTCTCTACTCCGGGGAGCCCCTGGGGTCCTGCTTTGGACAATAAGCACATTCCATATGTTTAAATTGGTGACTTGAAACAGACAAAGCAAAAGGACATTGGTCACTGCTGGAGGATGTTAATGACCAGGTAGAGGAAAGGGTTCCTTGGCCTTCTCTCTGCTCTGTCACACTCGCTTGGTGATCTCATTCCACTTACACCCTGACATGCCTGCCCAGATGTCTCCCTTGAGTGGACACATTGGTCAACTGCCTGTCTTGCTCCCTGTGAATGTCTGATAACTTCCTACCCCTGGAGTGCTGACAGTCACCAAGCCATCGTAAGCATTAGGATTGGGAAGGTGAGGGACTCACCACAAGCACGCATAGCCAGAGAAAATGCATCCAGGCCATCAGTGAAGGGAGATACCACCACAGTTGCCCCCATCACCACCCCACCATCTCCCCTTCAAGGTCGGCAGCTAGAATCCATCCGGGCTGAGGTGGCTGAGAAGGGAGATGTCGGGCTGGTAGCCGAGAGCAGCCGTAGCACCCAGAGGCTCATGCTGCCGCCACCCCCACTCACTGCCTCCGGGGTCTTCAGCAAGTTCCTAGACATCGCTAGACTCACTGGCAGTGCTGTGAGTATGGGGCTTACCCCAGAGCCCTGGCAGCTTGGGGAGCCGTGAATGGCTTGGCTGTTTGGGCTGAGTCTCTTCAGCTTTACCTGTGGGTACAGAGCTCCCTTTCCTCCTTCCTGCACTCAAGCCTGGGGGATTTTCCCTGAAGATTCCAGCACCTAATGTCATGCTGGCCACTGATGGGACTCGATATGTATTTCTTGGATCAAAGTGGGCAGGGAGGCAAGGAGGAAAGCTGGCTCATTGTCACTGCCCTGAGAATCAGAAGCCATGGGAGCTGGGACACAGGGATAGGGTAGGGGGATGAGGGGTGGATATGGAGCAGGCAGGCATGGTCCCTTCACCATCAGGCACTGACTGGCTTCCCCTACCTCCTCCAGTCCACGACAAAGAAGATGGACATCATCAAAGGCCTCTTTGTTGCCTGCCGCCACTCAGAAGCCCGATTCATCTCCAGGTGACTGTGTGAGCTAAGAGGCTGGGAGGGACTGCTGGCCAGGATCCCTACCCTGACCACCCTTGGTTGAGAAAAGCACCATCAGGAGGTCCAGCCCCTGAGGGGTTGGGAAGGGAGCAGTTTCTACTCATAGCTGGCTCCTCCCTTGGTGCTGCTTAGAGAAGGTCCTCAGCCCATGGGTGGAACATACTGTGATTGGCTGGTGATATATATTTACTTTGGTCTGAGTAGGCAGCACAGTGCAAAAGGTTTGGCATGACTGTGGGAACACAATCATTGTCAGCCTGCATCCTGCAGCATTTCTACTGTGGCCTGAGCCTGGTGCTTCATCCTGCCAGCTTCTCCCACCAGCTCCATGAGGATAGCCCTGTTGTCTTCACCCTCAGTTTGCACCTGGAGAAGTGGAGGCACAGGGAGGTTAAGCCATTTACCCATGGCCACTGACTCAAAGCAAGACCTGTGCCAGGTCAGGTCTGAGGGTCATGTGCAGGACCCAGACATAGTTCTGTGCCTGAGTCACTCTCCCTGAGCCTCAGCACCCCTGCAGAACAGCTGAGAGGCACCAGTAGGGTACCCACTGCTGCCACCCAGTCTGTGCCCATGGTAATAGCCATTATTGACTGGCATCACCTTTTTTTCATCTGTTAAATGGAGCTGTGAGATCTCTTAGGTCCAGGGTTAGAAGATCCTGGGTTTAAGGAGAGGATGTGCAAAGCATCAAGGTGGGCTAGGGAAGGAAGGAGCAAAGAAGGGTAGAAGCAAGATTGGAATGGTGCAGACAAGTGCACCCACTTACCTGCTCTCTCCCCAGGTCCCTGAGTGGACGGCTACGCCTGGGGCTGGCAGAGCAATCGGTGCTAGCAGCCCTTGCCCAAGCTGTGAGCCTCACACCCCCAGGCCAAGGTGAACCCCCTTTGGCCAATCTTTCTGCCCCTTACCAGAGCAAATGTGGCTTTCCCTTTTCTTCACAAGTCTAGCCCCACCCCTTCCCCAGGTAGTTCCTACCACTCCAGATTCTCTTAGGCCATTAGGTTTATGTTCCTTGTCATATAGCAAAGCACACATTGTGGACCCCAAGGGTCAGGCACATCCCTACCCCTCTCTGGTGGGTTTTTTCTTAGAATTCCCCCTAGCCGTGGTGGATGCTGGGAAGGGCAAGACAGCAGAGGCCAGAAAGTCATGGCTGGAGGACCAAGTCATGATCCTGAAACGGACATTTTGGTGAGAGCCAGGGGCCAGGGGCCAGGGAGGAGCCAGAGGGGTGGTGAGCGCAGTATGGGGGGCCCAAGTGAAATAGGAGGAGCCAGTGGCTGTCAGTGTTAGTGACCATGGGTGGGCCTGGTCACTGGGAAAAGTGGTTGTGATCTAGATGAGACTGGTCCTGAGCACACAGGTGCTGACAAAGATCAGAAAGGTGGCAGACAGAGAAGGGCCAGGGATCCAGGGAGAGGCAAAGAGACACACTGACAGCCAGTGAGGGCAGCAGGCATCAAGTGGTCTCTGAGTTCTGAGCAGGGCCATGCATGCCGAAAGGCCCTAAGAACCAGAGAAGGGCTGGTGACTGATGTGTAGCAAGGGGTCATGACAGTCACAGAGAGAACATCTGTGGAGTGATGGCGAGGGCTCCAGAGGGGGCCATGTGGGGGAGACCTTGACCAGCAACTGACCCATGACTGGTGACAGTGAAATGATGGGTGTCCCGGAGATGGTGTCGGAGGCAGAAGGGCTGATGAACAGTCCCATAGATGCCTCAGGGGCCACCCTGAGTGCTGGACATACAGCAGAGCTCCTGGCCAGGGTGGTGGACTTGCCTCTACCGGCAGACAGGGTTCCACCAACTGCTGCCCTTAGACCCAGACCAATGAAATCAGAATCTTTGCAGGTAGAGTTTGGTCTTGAAAATCTTGTGTTCTTTTCTTTTTATTTCAAAATATTAAGGGGATACAAATGTCTTTATTACATGGCTTGGATCAGAGCTATAAATGCCCATCACCCAAATAGTGTTCATTGTACCCATTAGATGGGGTTTTGCCCCTCCCCTCCTGCCCCACATCTGCCACTTGATTTTGAGTATTACTTACCTTCTGTCCACTTGTGTGCCCATAAATTTCCATTTAATCATGAGTACATGTGGTGTTTGTTTTTCCATTCTTGAGATACTTAGGATAATAGTTTCCAGGTCCTTCTAAATTGCTACAGAAGGTGTTAATTCATCCTTATTTGAGGCTCCATAGAGCTCTTTAACACAGGCCTGACTGGTTCTCATGTATAGGCTAAGTAGAGAATCACTCACTGGTCTGCTGGTGACAGGCGGGGATGGTGGCAGGCTTGCTCAGCCTAAGGAAGATGGAGTCAGAGTCACAGGGACACTGAGGGAGAACAGAGACGGTGGCAGTAGAGGGCAGTGCCAGGATGAGAGATAGGCAAAGGGGTTTATGAGCCCAAGCTTCTGGGCACGGGCTAGGGTATCTCTCCAAGCTATGCAAGTTCTAGGAAGATTCATACATCTTGTTCTTGCCCCTATACCCCAGTGAGGTGCCTGACCTGGACCGAATTGTCCCTGTGCTGCTGGAGCATGGCCTGGAACATCTTCCGGAGCACTGCAGGCTGAGCCCAGGTATGGGCCCCATAGACCCTCTTAGGTCCAACAGCAGCCGTTCCCTCTGAACCAGCGTGGGTGTGGGCATCCTTTGAGGCACCTGCAGAATCTTATTCTCTCTCCACCAAAGTTGATTCCCTTCCCTGGTGCTAAAACCCATTCCTTTTCTCCGTGTCCTTTCCCTTCCATATTAGCGTGTAGATGAAGTTGCTGTAATGAAGATGTGGCAAGGGCAATGTGTCAGGCTGCAGAGAAATGTTTTCTCTCGCATGTCAGTTACCAGAGCAGAGCAGGTAGCCTGGGAGAGTACAGCCCTGTGCTCTAGGGATCACCCAGGGACCTAGACTTCTTCTATCATGTCCCTCTGCCTTCCCGAGGTTGTCGCCCCAGCATGTGTGATCAGAGGTGGCTCACTTCCTGTTCTAGGTTGTGAGGGGAGGGGAGGCAACCAGATTCCTTGTAGAGCTGTGACCCAAATCAGATCTTGCATTTGTTCCAGTCACATGGCCTTTCCTAGTTTGAAGGGGGCCTTCGGATTGTCCCAAATGGGAGACAGGTGCCCTTCTAATATGTGGAAAGGTTCATTGTCTTACTCCGTGCTGAGAAGGGAGCATGGGTCCTGGGACCCATCACTCTCCTCCACGACATTCCCTGCTTAAGTCATTGCCTTCCCTCTGCCCTGATCTGCCCTAACCCACTCTCTTCTTCCCTACCAGGCATCCCCCTGAAACCGATGTTGGCCCATCCCACTCGAAGTGTCAGTGAAGTCCTGAAACGCTTTGATGAGGCAGCTTTCACTTGCGAGTACAAATATGATGGGCAGAGGGCACAGGTATGGGGAGTGCCCACAGGAGGCAGGAAATGCCACAGAGCACAGTGGGGGCAGTCAGACGTGAACAGAAAGCCAGCATCTGCCACACACTGTCTCTGGGCTTTAGTTCCCATCTCTGTGCAATGAGTGTGATAGTGACCACCTCACAGTCTCATCTGAAGTCAGCCTCATCAAAAGTTGTAACCTATGGCAGGGGGAACTCAGGAAATGTTGGCTCCACTTGTGCCCTGTTGGTAGGTGTGTTCATTATAGCAGCCATCCTGGGAGGTGCCTGCATAACCCCCTAGTGCAATGACATGTGCGTGTATCCTGTGACCCACAGAGGTGGGTGGGCGTCTTGCAGAGCTTTGAGGCAGTTTCAAGTCATGGGTTTGATAGACACTTAGCACGTTCCAGAAAGTAAGAAACAATGATTTATGATAATGACAATTTTTTGGGGGGGGAGAGATAGACTCTAATTCTGTCACCCTGAATAGAATGCTGAGGTGTCATAGCTCACAGCAACCTTAAACTCTTGGTATCAAATGATTCTCTTGCCTCAACCTCCTGAGTAGCTTGATTACAGGCGCCTGCTACCATGCCTGGCTAGTTTTTCTATTTTTAGTAGAGATGGTATCTCTTGCTCAGGTGGGTCTCAAACTCCTGACTTTAAGCAATCCACTCACCTTGGCCTCCTGGAGAGCTAGGGTTACAGGTGTAAGCCACCGTGCCTGGCTGACAATGATTTTTTATATATCAACTTTCTTGAACTACATAGCCCCCTGCTCAAGGACTATGGCCAGACTGGGTTAAAGTAAACTAGTAAAGTGACAACAGAGACCAAAATTATTTACTGAATAACAGCATTTAGGCAAGTTAAGAATGTGCATCCAATGAGAAACCTATGTTTACAGGAGGAAAGGAGTAGGGATTATAAATAAAAGAGATCATAGGGGCTTCATGGACATCGTTAGTTCCTCCTCTAGAGTACTGGAACCTTCAAGCAATGAAGGTGGCGCGGGAGAGAAAGGAGGGGCCGTGTAGGATGTGCTCAGCTCTGATTTCTTCTCCCTCCCCCACTGTGGTAGATCCATGTTCTGGAAGGCGGGGAGGTGAAGATCTTCAGCAGGAATCAGGAGGATAATACTGGGAAGTACCCGGACATCATCAGCCGCATCCCCAAGGTGGGCATCTGCTGTGCACTTTCACTCTGGCAGGGTCTGCAGTCGGGACCATCCAGGCCAGTTCAGCACACTGGGGGCTTTGCTGGAAGGAAATTGGGTTGCGTTTGGCTGTAAGTAACAGAGCACCAACTTATGCATGGCATACACAGATGCTATGTTTTCTCAAATCTGGAGGTGAGTGGCCCAGCACTGACTCTACTGAGCACTGATGTCCTCCCAAACCCAGCTCACTCTGCCACTCTCTTCTACCATGTCCTTGGCTGATTGGCTTTTCTTCCTAGTGCCTATCTCCTATCATTGTTTCCCAAACAGATGCCACACTTCTAGACAGACGGAGGGAAAAGGGCTTCTAGCTTTTGTCCCCTTCCATGGAGATAGCTTTCAATCACCCTGGCTGACTCTAGCTTGGAGTCACTGTCTAGCCCAGCACTGGGTCCTGTGGCCACTCTATGGTGGCAGAAGCTTGAAAAGCCAGAATCTAACTCTGCAGGCTTTTTAGCAGGAAAGACAAGGAGAAAGAATGGGGACGAGGGTGAAGGGAGCCAGCTTGCAGATGGGCCCCAGCATCAGAATGAAGCCCAGAGTCGTGTGGGCCCTATGGGCCTGCCTTAAGACTCCTATCAAAGAGTCTTTCCCCTTGCTTGCCCCTAATTATTAGAAAATTGTCCTTTCAGAGAGCAAGAACAGTTTCAGGATGCTGCTGTTAGAGATGGTGACTACAAGAGTCCCAGCACAGCATGTGCATTAGTGGGGCTCCCGCTGAGTGCCAAGCACTAACTGTATTTCTTAATTTTACTAAGTTGTAATTTCTGTAAAAAAGCTTCTGATTTTGTGTATATGGTATATGTATACATAATGAGTGATGAGTTTTCACAGATTTACCTGTGTAACCAACACCTAGTCGCTATAAAACATTTCCATATTTTTATCACTCCAGAACATTTCCCATACCACTGGCCAAGCAAGACCTTTCCTTTTTCCTCCCACCATCCATCCGCCAGAGGCCACCCCTGATCAGCCTTTTTGTCACCATAGATTAATTTTGCTTATTCTAGTTTCCTGTTAGTGGTATCCTGTGGTATAAAATCTTTTATATCTGGCTTCTTTTGCTTGGTATGTGACAAAGGAAGGTCTGCCATGGTCTCTGCTCTCTCTGAGCTCACAGTCTGATGGGGCAGGCAGATTTTCACCTGAGAGTCCTGCTTTTGATCAGGGCAGGGAAGAAAAAGACCCCTTCTATAAGCCTGTATAAGAAACAGATGTGACTTAGACTAATGTCAGGGAAGCTGCACAGTGTAAGGATACACCAGGGATGGTTCCCCTTGGATTTGTGCATCACAGCATTCTGTTGCGGGAAAAGAAGTCTTCCCAGTGGAGGCCAAGGACAGTACAGGGGGAGCACAGGGAAGGCATTCTAGAGGGAGCAGCATGTGCAAAGCCCCAGTGATCGGAGGGCATAGCCCATTTTAAAAACAGGGAGATGTGCTAAGGTGACAAGAGCAAGCTTGAGGGGGCCCAGTAAGGACTAACTGAAGAAACTCCCTGAGTTTGGGAGAGTCATGGGATGGGTTTTAGAGGGGATGTACTGTGATCAGATTGGGGTTTGGCAGGGTCCCCTGGCTGCTGTGAGTAGACTAGACTAAGAGGGGAGGTGCAGGATGGGGGAGACAGAAGGAAGAAGTAACTGATCTCAGTGAGGTAGTGGGAAGTAGATAGACAACTTAGAGATTTTGGAGAGAAAATAAACAGGTTCACTGAGAAAATGAATGTGAATGAGAGGAAGGGGAGATGACAAAGGCTCCTGGGTTTCCACCTTGTAGGACTAAATAGTCCCTTTTCAGAAAAGTTTGTGCCCACCCCAAAAGGGAATACAGGCAGGGATCTGTTTTGTCATATCTCTTTGTAGATCTTGAGAACTCTGGAAGGAAAAGGGAATTTGTTTCCCCATGTTTTTCTTCTGTCTTCATCCTTTATCTCTTACAAGCCCCACGTCTGTCCTTCACTTTGTAGATTAAACTCCCATCGGTCACATCCTTTATCCTGGACACTGAAGCTGTGGCTTGGGATCGGGAAAAGAAGCAGATCCAGCCATTCCAAGTGCTTACCACTCGCAAACGGAAGGTACCCTTGGCCCCCTCCATTGCCTACCACAGCCCCATACACCCTCATCTTCCCAGACCTGGCTACAGGTCCTATCCAATCCCTGGAAGGGCAGACTGTCAGTCTGAATACAGTTTCTGTCAGGCTTTTTGCAAAATGGCTGCCACAGCTCCAGCCATTACGTTCTCGTCCTAGCATCCCAAGTAGGAAGGTGAGGAAGGGCCCTTTTCTCACATCTCTACCACTTTGCTATGAAAGATGATCTGGGAACCTCTATAGAGCTGTGTCATGTCACCCTCATTAGCTGCAAAGGTGGCCAGGAGAGCAAATATCTAGCAAAGCTTGAGTGAGCTTGTCAGAACTAGCTAAAAGCCATTGTGACTCCATACCCAGGGCCAACATCATTGTCACCCTCACAGGTGGGGAGAGGGAGCAAATAGAAGACAACTGTGGGGTCTGCCTTAGGTACAATGTGAGGGGGCCCCACCCAGCCCTCTGGCATCTTTCCCACTCCTGGTTTCCATTTTTTCCTAATCCAGGAGGTGGATGCATCAGAGATCCAGGTGCAGGTGTGTTTATACGCCTTCGACCTCATCTACCTCAATGGACAGGTAAGGTCTGGCTTCATGTCCAGCCATGGCCAAGGATAACAGGGGTAGTGTGTGAGTCTAGGAGCCAGCAGGCTGACTTTCACATCTGACTCTGCACTTCACTGAGTGGGGAGGCCCACTGGGCAGTGGTTCTCAAAGTGTGGACCGAGGACCCCTGTGGGTTTCCAAGACTTCCAAGTCCTTAGAAGTCCTTACTATTCTAACTCCATATCCGTGTGAGGTGAGTTTTCTACATGTGCTACTTACAGAACATGTCTCAGCTGCCTAAATGTAGAAGCAGATAGGAGGATCCAGCCTGTGTTAAGCCAGATTGCTTAAGTTCCAGAGTTGGAGACGAGCCTGAGTAAGAGTGAGACCCTGTCTTTACTAAAAGTAGAAAAAACTAGTTAGGCATTGTGGCAGGCGCCTGCAGTCCCAGCTACTTGGGAGGCAGAGGCAGGAGGATTGCTTGAGCCCAGGAGTTTGAGGTTGTTGTGAGCTATGATGACATCACAGCACTCCACCAAGGGCAACAGAATGAGACTCTATCTCAAAAAAAAAAAAATTGTAAGAATGCAAAACAGTACCTCTATTCTATATTTCATAAAAATATTACCTTGGGTAGTATATTAGATTTAATATTTTAAAATTTCTTAAATTTCAAATATGGTGTAAATATATTGTGTAACCCACATAAACAGAAGCTCTTTAGAGTGATTCCACAATAATTTTTAAGAGTGTAAAGGGGTCCTGAGACTTCAGGGTATCTTTCAATTAAGAATCTGCAGGCAAGCCACCTACTGTCACATCGCAGCCCACCCTCCCTGGCTCTGTGGCTGCAGACAAGCAACTCAGCCTGTCTCTCAGTTTCTTTATCTACAGTATAGAGCTAGCAGCCCCTGCTGTGTCTGTTGGGGGTGAGGACTAAATGGTGGGATATGGGTGTGCAGCCAAGTAGCTGGCTAAAGGAAGTTCTCTTTTTTTTTAAATTTTTGGCTGGGGCTGGGTTTGAACCAGCCACCTCTGGCATATGAGGCCAGTGCCTTACCCTTTTGAGCCACAGGCACCGCCCATCAAGGAAGTTTTCAATAAAAATTATCTGGTGTCATCGTCATCATCCCAGATAATCTTGACAGTCTGATAGATGAACAGAGGTGATAAGTGTAATAACTACACTTTTTACTTCTGAATGAGTAGAGCATCTTTTCAGATTTCTTGGTCACATGCATTTGTTCTGGGACTTGCTTGCTTGTGTTTTGCTTGCACGTCTGGTGGATTCTTACTACTATCTTCCTGCTCTCAAAAAGTCCCTTCTCCTAGGTTGAGTAGTCCTTTGCTGGGCAGACAGAGCTGGTAGTGGTTCTAATGCTGAAATGCCTCTGGTGCCTGAGCCCACACCTTATGCAAACTAAAGACAGCATTTCACTGCATAAAATAACTATAGGAAGACTGATAGACTCCTGCTTTTGTTTCCCATGATTTTTTTGAGGAGAATAATGTTAAATATTATATGCTTAGTGGGTTTTTTGTTTGTTTGTTTGTTTGTTTGAGGCAAGAATCTTACTTGGTGCCTTTGGTAGAGTACTGAGGTGTCATCCTGACAGCAACCTCAAACTCCTGGGCTTAAGTGATCATCTTGCCTCAGCCTCCCAAGTAACTGGGACTACAAGTGCCCTTCATAATGCTGGGCTAATTTATTTTTAGTAGAGACAGGGTCTCGCTCTTGCTCAGGCTAGTCTTAAACTCCTGAGCTCAAGCAGTCCACCTGCCTCAGTGTCCCAGAGTGCTAGGATTACAGTTGTGAGCCTCCTCACCCAGCCATATGCTTTTGCTTTGTATTTTTTCAGCATGATTTGATCATTCCTGTTCTGTTAGTTCTTCTGTCTCTCAGGAGCATTTCAAATATTTCTTCTTATTTGGTGTTTGCCTTTAAACTTTGTTGATGGCCTTTTTTGCTGCATAGTACTTGTTTGAACTATTACTTTTTTCTTTTCTTTTTTTTTTTTTTTTTT